TTGGACAACAAATGAGAAAGGCATGGATTGGATTCGACATTTTGAGAAGCATACAAAGTCCCAATCTATTGGTGGTTATCGTCTATTAGTCCTCGACGGCCATGAAAGCCACCACTCCGACGAATTTGAGGAATATTGCAAGGAAAACAACATTATCACTCTTTGTATGCCTGCTCATTCTTCTCATATACTCCAGCCACTCGACGTTGGCTGTTTTAGCCCTTTGAAAAGGGCATATGGTCAGCAAATTGAAGATATGATGCGGGCTCAGATCATCCATATTACTAAGGATGATTTCTTTCCTGCCTTCCACGCCGCATTTAATATTGCAATGACAGAAAGCAATATCCGAGGAGGGTTCCGAGGGGCTGGGCTTCTTCCATTTGACCCAGAAAGTGTAATTTCTACACTTGATCTTAAGCTAAAGACGCCAACGCCTCCAAACTCCCCCCCGTATTCCGCTCAGCCTTGGGTTTCCCAGACACCAAATAACCCTACTGAAGCCTTATCACAGACTGCATTTATTAAAGATCGAATTTTACGCCACCAAAGTAGCTCTCCAACCCCTATTTACGAGGCCATTGACCAGTTTACGAAGGGTGCATCAAAAGTAATGCACCAGATAGTACTATTGAAAGCTGAGAACCAGAGACTTCGACAAGCAAATGAAGTACTAAGTAAGCGCCGTAGAGCTAAAAAAACACGCCTACAGCAAGGAGGATCACTTAGTCAACAGGAAGCGCAGGACTTACAGGATGGTAGAGACGTTGGTGAGCAGGTAATGCAGGAAATAAAGAGAAGTAGTGGTCGGAAGCCGAGGGAAGAATCACGTGCACGGCGCTGTGGCAACTGCGGAGAGACTGGTCATAATACGCGCACCTGTAATATTATAGAGGAAGTATCTGAGGAAGAAATTTCTGAATAGTGTTTTTTAATTAGAGGCGTTGTGGTAGAGTTCTTACAATTTCAATCGCGAGTGTAGAAAATTCTGGCCGGTTCGCTTGTTTGGCCGGTTCGCTATACATGCACTTTACTAGGATTTTAGTAAAATATATTAAAGTTAAGAAGCTATAAGTAAATAAGAAAGATAAGAGAGATCTATTACCTTAAATTAAGTATTCTAAAGTTATTAATACTCTTAAAGTTATAAAATAATATAAGATATAATGTCACGGGTCGAATGTCGCGATTCGGTTATTCTTCCTCGTGACCGCGGGACAAGTGGCTGCCTAAGCGAGCATGCATGCATGTCCCACGCTTCAAGCAAACAAACAATGAAGGAAAACTCTTCAAGCAAACATGCCAACACACAACTCCCTCAGAAAACTCTTTAAGCAAACACGACAACACATCAAATCCCTCATCGTGGCGTGATAAGGGATGTGGGAGACGCGGGGGATAAGGAGCTGTTGGGTGTGTGGTGTTTCTGGCATAAGAACCTCGGGTTTTCTCCTCAGATAGCTCTTCTCTCCTTAGCTTTAGATTCTAAGTAGTGGAATAGCAGTATCCTTCACCGTTCCGTTACATATAATAGTTAAATAAAAGTATAGAATAATTAAAGTAGTTAAAGGAGATAGAGAAAATAGTAAGTATTTAGTTGTGAGGGTTGAAACCCATGATGGAGGCTCGGGCCATGCCCTCGCTAAGCACTAACCAAAGTCCCCGCTCAGCACTGGCCATTCCCCCACTGCCAAGCAAGTCTCTGCTGTTCCATACTTTTCTGTTCTATTCTTTTGACATCATGTATTCGTTAGGCAGCTTCCTGGAATATTCCAGAGACTCTTCCTCTATCTATATATAGAGGAAGAGCTTGCATGTATGTAGTCTTCACGCACTTCTTAATTGAATATTCGAAACCACACCTTTGAGCTATTCGAGGTCTGGCCTCTCACATCAGTATTCTAAGGTTAGTAATTAATTCTTAATTACAGGTTATTTTAGTATTTTAAATACCTTAAAGAAGTACTAAATAAAAATTCTTATTTCTTTAATATCTCGCTCTTAAGTAGTAATATTACCGTTCTCTTTTTACTACCTTTTACCTTAACTTCTAGCTTATATCTAACTACTTACTACCTACTAGATCCCTTTATAAAAGAGACTTCTTATCCCTCTCTATTATTATCTTTCTACTTATTCGATTATTTACTAATCTAAACTATAAGCTTTTTATTATCTTCTAAATATTATAAGATATTGGGTTGAAAGAGTATTGGGTACTGAAGGTCATGGAGAATTGATTGCATTGTAAAAGGTAGCTATCTAAGGTGTTTATATAAAGAGTGTAAGGTTTAGGCAGACATGAAGCATTTAGGCAGCAGAACTATAAGTGGATCAAATAAGGAAGTGGAGCAAAAGAGAAAGTAGACCCAGCACAACATAAGATTAAGGGGTTAAGAGCCTTCTTTAGTTCTAGCTTAATTTATTTACTAAAAGCCTTATTATCCTACCTAGTACAAATTATAATACCCTTAGATAAGCTAGCCTTTTATAGTATACGGAAGTAAAGTAGATATATACTACCGGTAAGGGGTATAATTAAGGGGTTAAAGTTAGTATAAACGTCTAAAAAAGTTAGTATAGGGTATATAAAACTAGTAGGAATAGCCTTATCTATAGATAATTTAGTATACGCTAGAGGTTAGTACGCTTATTATAAATATAGGCGAATTAGTTAAACAAGTTTATAGGGGTTAGGAGAAATAGTAGTAGACTTAAGTACGAAATCGCGATTTTCTCTCCTCCTACCTATAAAATACACTAAGGCCCTTGCTATAAGGATAACCTCGGATATATCCTTAGCAATCCTGCCCCCGAGTATATCCTTGTATCGAGGTTTCCCTGTATATCTAATGTAAGTGCGCGGACCGACCGTCCGGAGTCCGGCTAGCGAGTCGGTCCCGCTAGGGGGCATCGGGCCGACACTACTCTACTCGTGAATTAATCGAGTAATAGTTAGTGCGTCTTTCTAGTGCGCTACAAGCGGCGAGTTGAGTTGAACAGCGATTTTGACTACTCGAGTTGAGCTGATTAAGTGCTACTACTTAACTTAACTACTTGGATTTAATACTCTGTTTTTATACATTGTAAAAGGGGAAATGTAGATACCACGAAAGCTGGTGTTATAACCCTGTGAGGGCTACAAAACGGTGTTTTTAGTAGCAGTTAAGGGGATAGCGCTCGGTAATTACAACAAGAATCCCTTAATATTCGCAACGAACCCCCAAGAGAATCCAGCATCCAAGACGAATAGACAGACCATTTACCATAAGAAAAGCGTATTGTGATGGAATTCTGGTTCGGGCTGCGATGCGAATTCTTCACCGTGCAGAGTAGGTAGATAATTTTGTGTCTACATCTGTCAACCAAATCACAGCTTATGTTTCTCGGCAAGCGACCTTCGCTTAAGTGGCCCCTCAATATTATCCGAGGACCAACCTCATCACTAATCTGTAGAACGCCGAGAAGAGTAATGATTTCTACTACGTAAATGTGACAGTTAACAAGGAAAAAGAAGGCTGGCCGGTACCATATCATAACACCAAGAAATCCCAGGTCTCTTCCGGACCATACAGCACGATGGCAAGACCACCAGAACCAGTCACACAAGACCCAACTCCAGCATCCGCCCACAGCTCCTACAAAGCCACATCCCCACTACCCAACCCACCAAACCCAAAACCACTTCCATCCCCCCTTCCCACCCCACTCCTCCTCCAATCCACCAGCAAAAAACCCCTCACCAACCACCCTCCACGTCCCCTAATACTATTGGTGATGTTTGCTAAGTTCGATATCAGTAGCCTGGCATATCTCACAGCATTATCGGTCCCGGACGACAAGATCCCTCGTCCACGTCAAGAATCAGAATCGCCACTTACAATTCCAAGAACATCACTCAGCAGCTCCATCCTACCTAGCGGATCTTTGACCGCCATCCACGAATCGTCGCTCCAACATCATCAGCGATTCCAAATTTCGAATAGAAGAGTAGCGTCTAGCGCTCAGCGACCAAACCAAGGCGTGCGTAAATCCCATCAATAGGAAGGGTTACTCGAAATCGGAGAGCAAGCTTGAGTGTATCCTGTATCCTACAGCTTGACAAGATCAACCTTCGCGCTATGAGACCTAACTTTCCATGACCAAGGCACCGAGAACTCGTCGTCGGTCAAGAACTTCTTCTCTGCTGTTTTTTTATGCTGGAACTATACATCATTACACGAGCCAGCGCCCCGGTGAGTTCACGCTACTCAATCTCCTGGTCTCCATATTGGATGATTTGAGCCTCCGAAATAGCTATCTCTTGAATAATCCACACTCTTTCAAACCACTCGTTTGACATGAGAGTTCGAAACTCCCTCCACCCCGAGTCTGGGTCTATATAAGGGCTTTCAAAAGAAGCGCCTGACTTCGTCTTATTGATACGACTAATAAACGAGAAGACCTTTTTTGTGTCTGTGTTATCCCCTAGCCAGCCCAGAGTCATTTCCGGCTCCTCATAAATACTCCTCATCATACCGACTTATCTACTTTTCTCCAGAGGGTCTTCTTAATTAATACAGATCAAATCAATCCAGAAATATCGGGCATGAAGAGAATCTCGCTTAGACAAAAGGAGGGAGTATAACTACGGGAGACTAGAAAAAGACCTCCGTTAATTAATATCATCTCTTGAGGCGCGCCCCATGAATCCCAGCGATGGGACACTGCCGTGTACTGTGGTGGACATCTGAGCGTTGTATCGACCATATCGCATTGAATCGGGGTGTTTGACCAACGAGGTTGAGCACGGAGTCGCAGCAAAGGTGACTCAAGTGTACACCACGCCACCAGTGTAAACTTGAGGTATTTTAGGAAGTGAAGGGAGATAAGGATAGGACCTTTCAAGACGCACGATTGATTGTTCGATCTCATTTTTTCTCTAAAAGCTTTTATGGTACTAGTCGTGCTTAGCTAAGAAACTCTATGGTTATTTCTTACAAGCCTAGAGATCTATTACAGGTACGTTAGCTATACTATATATGTGCTCATAATATGTAATATATAATAATATTCATATATGTATATATATCCACTAAGCTATCCGAACACTAGTCCGTGCAAAAAGAACAAAACGGGGGGTATGGGTATGGGGTATATAGTAAAAAACAACAAAAAACAAAACGGCCGCCCTCTACTGGACAATCATCCAACCATCTACCTCGCATGCCACCTATCTCGGAAAGAAAAGAGAATCTTCCATCTCATCCAACTCATCTAAAAGACAAGAGAAAATAGAAAATGGTATCAAACATGCAACCCACCGCAACCGTAACCTCCCTCATAAAGAAAGGAAGAAGAAGAAAAGTCTATGCGAGCCACCAAACCTCCTACTCCACAATATTCAGATGCCAATCCCTCTCAAAAGAAAGAGAGGAAGAACGCCTAGGGAATAGCATTCAGCTCTTCTCTTTGCCTCAAATAAGTCTTGGCCAGCACATCGCCTCCCAGAGCACTCAGCTCCATCCAATGATACGCGACACACATCGTTGCTGGATCGCTCCTCTCGCGATCCCTCTCTTCTTTACCCGTATTACCACCACCATGCATCTCCATAACCTGCGCCTTGAACGTCTCACGGGGTTTACTCAACGGCGCTGTGACACGTTCCACGAGCTCCGGATGGGTGAGATAGAAAATGGCTAATTCACGTTCGGCGACGGGGTCCCCTTCTTTCGCGGTGATGGTCCACATTTGTGCCGCGTCTTGCATGGAGTATTTCATGAGCTCACCTGAGGAGGTGGTAGGCGGGAGGGGCTCGGGAGATGAAGTGGTGGTTTTGCGTGTTTGAGTATAGTGCACCACCACCTCGTCTGCAATCTCGATGAGGGTTCTGCAGACGTCTTGTTTGAGACCTAGAGCGGCGAGGCCGGCGTCCCAAAACGCCTTTCCGCGCTCGGTCTTGTCGAGGACAGATGCGGGAACGAAGGAAGCGATGAATTGCAGGTCACGGAAAAGTGTCTTTGGTCTGATGTCTGGATCCCGGAACAGATCTTGGAGAACATCAACAATCATATCTGTGCTAGCTGGTGTGGGGTTGTTAGATGATCGATCATTACTGCGATGTACGGGTGATGATGGATCAGGCTGATTGAGAGCTTGCGAACGACGCTCTTTGCAGTTGTCTATAGCCTCTTCCAGATTCTTAGCGCGGGGGGTAGTTGTGTTCGTATCGCTATGTCCAAATGCATTAATATGCCGAGCCTCTGGTGGAGGAGCAGCAGTTAGTGTATCTTGACGCAAACGCGGTCGGCGAGGCCCTGATGGTGTGAGGAATGCAATAATGAGATGTTCCAACTCAAACAACGCATTCAATTTTGCGTATGGATTTGGATGAACTGAAAACATTCTCAACAATCGTTGAAATGCTTGTCGATATGGAAAGTCTGGAGAGTCTTGATCTTTGGGGATCTGCTTTCGTGAGATTCGTGCAGCTGTCTCGCAGGTAGATGAGCCTTCAGCTTGCAAATCAACCGAGCCCCGATCTGAAGAGGCTCTCGTAGAATTTGGTGAGATTCTGTCTAGTCGCTCGAGGTAAGCCTCGGGGCGTTCACCTGGCAAGTCGCCCTTCTGTGCTCCACGAAGATCTCTAAAGCTCTTCTTTTTCTCAAGTGTCCTTCTCTTATTCTTCCGGCGAAGTTTTCGATCAGTTCGCTCTCTTCTCTCCATGCAATGCTGACCTAGATCACCAGCAAACCAAGAATCGGTCTCACTGCCTCTAGCAAAAACTAGCATACCTAAATCACTAAGAAGTAAGCTCGTTAAGGTCTGTTTCAGATCAACCAGAAACTTTTGCTTTGCTTGACTAGCGCGCTCTTCTCTCATCATGACGGTCTCGTTTGTTGATGACGATGCAGTGCCTGGACGGGCACTGCTAATACTAGTTGTTGGAGATTGTGCTCTGGTTTGAAATGGCGACCAAAATGTGGTTGCAGAATCAATGGTTAGGACCGGACTGGCCATTCCAAAGTAGTCTTGGGAGTCCATCAGATCCCCTTGGGTACTAGGTGCCCCAGTACCAGTGCTCATTCTTGACATGCTGAAGCGACCCGAGTCAAAACTTTGTTGAGAATGATTCCTCGCTGACATAGCTCGGAGGTCTCGAAGACCTGGACGAACGAACGATTCTTTACTCCTCAAGCTACGCCGACCTGCTTCAGGGTCGCTAGGCTCGTCGCCGGAGATGTTCAACGAGCCAAGGCCGTTGATGTAGAGATCACCTTTCTGTCTCCCACTATCTAAGATGCGTTTATCTCGATAGTACAATTCGCTTGACCATAGAACCGGTCCCTCCATAAGATTATCGCCTACCAACTTGTTGATGCAAGACTCGATTTCCAAAGAGAATCGATGAATACGCTCTTCGCCTTTGCAAAAGTTCTCAATGCCAAATTGTGATAACCAACGTAAAGTTTTGTCTGCCTGTTCGTCGGACAGTTTATTTGGGCCACCCTGTTCATCGATTGCCGCCATCATGTCCATTACTTGAGCTTCCGTTTTCAATAAGAAATTGTTTGCTGCAGTCTTGGATGTATTTCGAGGCCGCATACTCGCAGGGGGTAGGTAAGACGCCTTTTTCGGCGATGCCATGCATTTCAGAGCAACTGCAATGTTTCGCGCACCTTCATAGGCGGCCGAGTTTCTGACATCGGTGACATACCACATCTTGTCTCTGAGAGCCTTCAGCCTCTTCATCATAGATTCAATAGTTACATCATGACGTTCCTGAGATTGCTTCAACCACACAACCCAAGCTTCGTACTCCTCAATGGCACTCGCAGAACGCCGAATAGAATCTCGAGGTCCACGAGAGAAAATGTTCAAGAGAGATGCATAGCCATCCCGCTTGAGAGATGGGGATGATATCTGATGAAGCTGATTGAGTGTTTTCCAGTACAAATGAGCGTTCACAAAATCCGATTGGGCCTTACACTGAGACTCCGCAGCCTCAAGCATGGCAATGAGTACGGATGGAGTGTCATCTTCAGATTGCCTGCTACCACTATCGGAATCAGTTCGGGGTCTTGTTGATTTGGATTCCGGTAGCTTGCTGCTTCGTTCGGGAACAGGAGATTGTTCGAGGTTGCGGTAAGGGTTCCTGGATTGTGGTTGTGGTTTAGCCAACGATCCAGGTCTACTCCGTTGTTTCTTTCGAGGACTTTCCAAAGCTGACGTTCGATTGCTGAACGTCTTGGACTCTGCCCGTGAGTTCAGGGAGTGTGGGATTTCGTAATCCTCAACCAATTTCAGAATCGAATCACGCAACTGGTGATAATCTTTGTCTAGATCTGGACGAGAACTATAAGTATCATCTTCACTGTCGCTGCTCGCAGTAAATTCTTCCTCTTCAGCATCATCTTCGGGATCGTGGAGCATCTGGGTAGAAAGACCTTGGCCATCAGGTGATATGAACAAAACAGCCCAATTCTCAGCGCAAGGATGACAGGTTGCAGTGGCACCATCGAAACCTAAAGTCTGTGTCATCTCCTCAAGAGCCACACGTAGCTCGAAAGCATCATCCTCGTAAAAGCTCGAACGCTGGGTTTGGGCCGAAGAATACCTGTTGATTGCACTCGAACCATCGTCCAGTAGGGGTTCACGTGAGGTGGTAATGTCGCTGATGACCGAGGAACCGCTGGTACTGATAACTGATTGGTTGTCAAAAGCATGGCGCGGTGTACTTATTGGAATAGAAGCTGTCATGGAGGACATCCCCGAAATGGATGAAGCCGATGATCGGAGGCCATGAATGTCTCTTGCCAAGGTACTTGAAGCAGAACGCCTCTCAGGAAAGAGAGCATTGACAATGGTTACCAAGTCCGATGGGCCTAGAACAAGATACGGATGGACTTCCACCGTTTCTCGTAGAGATGTGATAGACCGGGCAGGAAGAAGTTTTGCCTTGGACTTAGAAGTACGGCTTGAACGGAAACGTGACAGGATCCGCTCAATATGGCCCTTGATTGGAAGCGGAATCGAAGCTTTTTGCCTAAAGAATTGGTTAGTATTATTGCTCGCCTTCTTGAAGAGTAACATACCAAACTAAATCTACGACATATTTTGATGCACGCATTGCAACTTCTTTCAAGATTTTTTGTCTACCGTATTCGGTGATATGGTACTCTGACATCATGCCGTAAGCCTTGAAAAGTTAGCGGTAGTGTCTCTATATAAGCGAGGAATCCGTTACCTCTGGATGTATGATGGCATTCAGCAGAAATGTTGAAAAGAGGCATTTCGAAACCAGGAAAACCTTGGTAGGTGCATGTGCCTTGGGTTCAAGCTTACGAAGTATGGCATTTCCAAGTTCAAGAAGACCCTCGGGAATACCACCAGCTCCAGGATCATCCACAATCTCAAAAAGCCCCTGGACAGCTGCAGTATAAAACTCATCCGCGGCTATGGAATCCTTGGCATTTCGTGGTTCCACGTGGATACGAGTCCCAGCCTGGTCTTCGGCTTTTTCCAATAAGAAGGCACCATCTTCAAGAATTTTCATAAGATACCATTCCATGTTACTTCGTCCGGACCAATCCCTCATGGAAGTCCAAACATTAAGAACACTGCAGATGAAGGCATCCAGGCCGGTCTTTTTATCGGTAATCAATTTTGCACAGGCGGTTGCCCATACATCAGTTCTCCGGAGGTCTTCCAAAGAGTCTGGCCCAGCCGAGTTTGCAAAGCATGTATGAATCAAAGCAGATAGGGGGTCATGACGTTGGAAAGAAAGCAAACGCTCAACTGCAGTGGGGGAGGTTTGGCTGGAGTTTCGGTGATTACTTGCCATATGTGCTTTAGAACGGGTGTGAAAAGGCAAAACAGAGTCCATGGGTTCCAATCCCTGGTGGAAGACTGTGAGAGCGGAAAGCTCAGAGGGTGAAAGGCAGGACAAACGGCTGGCCAAATAATCTGGGTTAGTCCTGATCTGGGTCAGAAATCTGATCAGGGTTTCGCGAGAACGCCGCGGAATTTCATGCATAAACGTTGACAAGGAACCAGTTTCCTCTCCGTTGCTCATAGTTGGGCGGACGCCATCTAGGTCTGGTTCCAATAGGGCATACCGTCGAGTGGCATCACATGAATTCCGGACATCATGGATGGCATTATAGAGAGTTGCAAAGGATTTCTTCTCGTCGCCCCTAAAGTTGTCAACCAACGTCCGGTGGGCCAATTCGCCGCATCTTGCCAACCGCGCTGAAAGGGCAGTGGAGACAAGGGAGCGTTGCAATCGCACACGAGAATGGGTTCTCTTCTTTTCCTGGTATGTGGAGAGGCGAACTAAATGGGCAAGTTCCTCCAGGGTGGTGGAAGCCGTGGAGGCTGTTAGTACCGCAATTTGTGGATTGGAGTACTGCGATATATCCTGGAGAAGAGGACGGTAGGGCAATTTGACGGGGGATGGAGCTCTGGCAATTATCTCCTTGGGCTGGCGAGAGGATTGGGACTTTTCGCGCTTTTCGGGTGCTGGGGAAGGGGAAGCTCGTCGAGCGCTAGTGCTAGTGTTCGTGTTCGTTCTTGTAGCACTTCGGTTCCTCTCTCGTTCCGTGGGAGCTTCTTTATAGGATGTTGGGGGTCGACTCGGGCTTCGTGAGGAATATCGGTGTAGTCTGGGGGGAACAATTACATGACTTTCGAGAGGAGATGGGGTCGGACTTCTCGAGGAAACCTGCGTAATGGTGGGGGATGCAGCTATGAGGTTTGCAGATTGGTAAGTATATTTCGTATAGATCCAATTTAAAGTTTTTCAGCAAGGAATTGGAATGTTCTTAAATTTGCGCAAAGCAGCAGTATAACATACGAGGGGATGCGTGTGCGGGCCCTGGGAGGGAAAGAGAACGCTGCATGTGTATCATGGCTCCATCGGGCGCAGGACGGGATGCGATCTCGAGCTTGTGCGCCTCGAGATGGCAGAGGGAGGGGGGTTCTGAAGTTATATTTGGGGAGGGTGAGGGTGAGGGAGAGGGGAGGAGTGAGTGAATGGTGGTGGAGGGCAGGTTGTTGTGGTGATGGGGTGTTGTTAGTGCAGTGCAGTGCAGCTGTCGAGGAAACGAGGCGGCTGGTGCTGGTGCTGATGCTTGTGCTATTGCTTGTATGTGCTGGGTTGAGGGTGGTGGGATGACGGCGGGCTCGGCTTTCCTGATAAGAGGAAGATGCTGGGAAAGTTGGGGTTCAACGGTAGCAGGAACAGTAGCAGGAACAGTAGCCGCGACAGTTAGGGGCCACGAGTATATCGTCCCGTCAAGGTTCGCGCCGGTCTGGAGGGTTATAGTAGTGCTTTGGTATGGGATGGAATGAGCAGTCGCAGCAGAAAAAGAAAGAAGCGCAAGAAGACGAGGTCTGGTCTGGTGCAAGCGATGAGATGTAGGCTGTCTGCTGTTTAGTGAGGGCAGTCAGGGCAGTCTAGTCCTCGCCTCAACTCCCCCATCAAAACCCATCAACACCCATCACGCCGGTCCGGTCGTGGAATCTCCACACATCTGCCACGCCCCCGCCCGCACCACTGCAACTGCCAACAAATCCACGCAGTTGCATGAACCCTGGCGGCGAATGCCCAATCAACACCACCGCTTCTCACCACTGTTCACCACTGGTGCACACCAGAGGGGATCACCAGCCAGCTCAGCGGACCGTGATTCGATGGAGCCGGCGGGCATCACAGTCCCCAATGCCCTGCTCACATCCGTAAGAGAACGCACTACTTCGTACCGGTACCGCTGGATGGCGGATGGCGATGCTCCAGGTGGGAGATCGATTGCTGGCATTGGATGGTGTTGGGTGGCCTGGAAAGAGTTGGAGCACCAATATGCATCGCAGGTCGGGCAACAGCCGGATGTGTGGTGTGAGAGAAGACTCGAGACGACCCGATTCAGCTTCCGGCAGCTGGACATCTGCAAGATATCTGCACCTAATCCGCGCGTCTGACAGCTTTGAAGGGCGGTGGTAGGCGAGCATTGCGCTGGCCTCGGCTTCTATGACAGAGTCGGGGGATAGTTCTATGGCCAGATTGCAGCATGGTAACGGAAAGACGACTGACTTGAGAGGATTCGGGGTCTTGGTGCTGAGCCATCCCCTTTTGGCGCCCCCAAAGCACCCCTCGTACTCGAGAAATCAGATGGTCATCGTGATTCGTGAGACCTCTGTGTTTGATATGCCGGCTAAATGGTTGAAACGCAGCTGTGTCTGTGTCTATCCAAAGACCTGTGAGTGTAAGACTTTTCGACTTACCTGAGAAGGTCTGAAGGTCTCAAGGCTTCTACAGTACGAGTACTACTAGCCTCTACAACCTTGGTTTGTGTTTGGTTTGCCAGCAAACTCTTACTTGCTCGGTAAACAGACTTGAGAGGGCAGGTGGCAAAACACAGCTACCACCAACCACCTACTACACTCGCCTCCCAAGGTAAACAAAAAAAAGCACAACACACTGGCTGAAGATGCGGTCAGCTACAGCATCCGCATCGCATCCATTAAACCCACCACCACCTCACTCCTTAAATCCGGCACATAACACCCAAAAAAAACCTTCCCTGAATCTTGGGATCCAGCCAGTCCATTTTCCAGGGCGCCGTTGCAGTCATCGCAAACCCAGGTCATTGCCAGCTCATACGTGCCTTAGTGCCTCCCTCGCCCTGCGTTGTTCGAATCACGACACTTGGTCCCTGATCCCCCATCTCGATTAGCCATCTTAACACTGATGATAAGGATACCAAGGAACTTGGGGAGACCTTGGGGAGCATTAAGACCCAGTTGTGCCTGGATTTCATCATTCTTTTTGAGGGACTATGTGCGTTCTGGAATATGTGTTTGGTTCTGCTTTCTTTGGTTAGGGTTGGGTTTTGCAGGTGGGTAAGGTTGGTGGGGGGAGTGGCATCGCATGTTAGTCACTGGTTCTTTCGGCATTGTAATCAGGTAAGTGTACGAGTATTCTAGGCCAAAATTATGACTACCAAGAGCGATCTATACCCCGCAGCCTGTCTGTATCATACTGGAAGAGGAAATCTACCAAACGCAACCATAAATATCACGTGATCAGTCTCAAGCTGGCCCTCGGATATCAGACAAAATAAATACAAGAGCAATGCACCCACCGCCAGGCACTGACACAAACCATGTTCTTTAGATTGTCAACAAATCGACATCCTTCCTCTTAATCTATCAACACTAATACTAACAGTACATGTTTTTCTTTCCTTCCCTTTCCTTTTCTCCTCTCTTCCTCTCTTCCTCTCTTCCTTTCTAAAGTTCAGCTAACCATCTTACATCTTCCACGTCCATTTTCCCAACCACCTCAATCTATATGTTTACCCATATGATAGTGATGGAGGTATAATATCCCATGCCCCTTATCCTACATCCTAATTTGAAACTCCCTAACACATCTACTCTGAGACAAGCAATATTCAGAGCTATATCTATTAATACTCTATCTAGATAGTCTTATTTAGGTAGGAGTAGAGAATTTATTAGAATATTTATAGGGAAAAATAGAGCTTAAGGAGAGGAATCTTAGATTTTGGTTTTTTCGGAAGTTTTTTGAAGAAAGGGGAGGAGAGGAGACGAGACGAGATGGGATAGTATTAGGTATAGGAGTATACTCGGTTTTAAGCGGGAGTATCTACGAAATAACTTTATTACTTTCCCAGAATAAAGGTTGAGAGTTTATTGTATTTGTACTTGTTCTTTTATTACGGTCTAGATAATTTTAAAGTTAAGATTTATTATTTTGATTTAATAAATAGATTTATTTAAACTTACCTTATACTTTATCTTAAGGTATAAGAGAGGGGTTTCTTTGATGCCTTCTACCTATCTTGATTTCCCTCCTTGTGCCTAAACCTAGTTGGTTTGATTATTCAAGTTCCAAACCTCCATACCTCCTGCCTCATTCCAGATCTCAAATCTCCCCTTTCTCAACAACAACCCCCGTCCCCTCCCTCTCTCCCGGATCTCCATACGCAGGACCTACAAAAAAACAAATTAGCACACTCTTCCCATCACCCACCCCTCTCCCCCCATTCCCCCGATCCCATTCCCCCAAATCACAAAAATAAAATTAAAAAAACATCCTCACCAAGCAAAGGATGCACCACCAACCCCGGCACAAAAACATCCACCCCCCTCTCCGCATTCCACGCATCCAATGCCCCCCACGACCGACACGCATGTGGCGACGAGAAGTTCCCTAAGGGAACGGGTTGGGACACCCCCCATTTGAAGGTTATTAGTGTGCTGTCGCCTTGGCAGGTTAGGGCTTGGCGGAGGGTGTTGAGGCAGTGGGCTTTTTGTGTGTTAGTTTTGGTGTTTGTTTGAGGTGTGGGTAGAGGGGTACTGGGGGGGGAAGGGGAGGGGGGAGGGTGTATATAAGGGGGGTATGGGGGTATGGGGGAGGGGAAGAGAAGGGAAGGGAAAAGGGAGGAGAGGTACAGTTATGTGCGCGTAGCTGGAAGAGTTCTTCTGCTGTGGCGTTTGGCCAGTAATGCTCTAGATGGAGGGATTTATGGAGTCTTTTCTATTCTCGTCGTTAGTGTTTTGCTCATTAAAATTATATCAAAGTATTGATTGGGATAAGGGGAGGGAGAGTTACAATGCAATGCAAATGATGGTACACAGTCATCTGAGCAAAGTATCCTGAGCCATCGGTAAATCGCACGGCTTGATCTAATCTACCCAATTTCCTGATCTCTGCTTCTGGGATGCGGATATTCGCATCTTGGTTTTTGACATCAGTATGCTTGCTTTCTTTGAGAAAGAAGGGGGGGGGTAGAATACTTTTTAATAACTCCCCCCAGGCGGCTTCGAGTTCTTCGCTTGGCTCGCCGGCGTAGAGGCGTGCGCTGGAGGTGTTGAGGGATGTGCTGACTTCGAAGATCTTTTGCTCGTAGGGGATTCCTAGGGGGTCTAGTCTGTTACTGTTTCTTTGTGAGGCAAAGAATATGGTGGTGTATGTGGTGAAGAATAGGAAGTGGAGGAGGAACGGGATGGCGTTGCGGAATTTATAAGGTTGTTTTTGGGAGTGAGAAGATTCTGGGATGGAGATGTGGCTTTCGGATGCGGGAATTGCTGTGTATGGTGAGGATTTCCATTCTAGGAGATGGGTTTTGGTGGGGTTTGGTGGTGGTGACATATTGGTGTTGTGAAGAAGGAATGGGGGAATGTTACGAGGGGTTTGGTATAGAGATGGAGGAAGGGTGTCTCTTGGTGCGTCAAGATTTTGTTGTTCGTCCCTTAGCGACGGAAGATCTCGTCAATTCATAATCCCGCAACCAAACTCGGAAACCCGAAAGAAGAGCTGGGAGCTTCCATCAAGTTCCAGAACTCTAGTCTTTGCATGCCAGAAATCTAGACTTTGCGGACGAAAAGAACTCAATAAATCTTGAAGTAGACAGCAACCGAACAAACCCCTGCTCGGGCTTCAGCCGCAGAACATGTCTGACCAATGAGTAATCCATACACTATTTTACCACGCTTGGCGATATACTTAGCGTTGGGTGTGATAGGAATTGTATTGAGCTTGTTCGTATCAGGGTGTGGCGGCCGTTGTAGAAAATCATGGCGTTTTTAAACAGTAACTCATGCCGACTTTGGCATGAACCAATGCGGTTAGATTTACGATAGTTTTGGTCGATTTATATGGCGCGTGCATACTGTAGCTTACATACATACTTCTCCGCATGGCTTTGCGCTCCGAACACGTGCAGGTCAAGCTCGGTGCTGCACCAGTACGGCGCAACTTGGTAGCGTAAATGGATTGTGGGGGACGGTTGCTTAAGTCGTTTTTATGAAGTGATTTGCTGAAGTCTTTTTGTTGTCGCAATGTAAGAATCTTGAGCAAAAGTAGGTGGAATGAACGCAAAAGGCTTAGTGTCGGGTTCTGATATCTCTTCCCGTGTATGTAAATTTGTTTCGATGAACTTATAGTGACTTTTCTCTGTACGAATATAACCTTAAACCGATACAAGACCAGGTGAGGCACAGTCAAGATAGTCTTGAAGCGATGTAACTCTCGCTTAAACTTTCGGCGAGATCGAGGAGATAAGAATATTGAGGAATGGGTGGGTCTCTTGATGAGGGTAAGAATACTCAAGGGAAAAGTTGTCTACCTACCGGTAACTTCAAAACAATTTTGTGATACTGTACATCTTCGGTGCATCTGAACAGGCTTCGTCCGAAGGGAATGCATTCAGTGGATGTGTAAATACAACATCCAGGTAAACTTCACAACGGATACCTTCCTCTATAGTTCTAGTCAACTGAAGAGCATGTTCACCGTCGCTTCATGCTGAGGGAAAAAGACGCCACGATGATTATAGTCGGCCAAATATCCTTACTTCGTTGAGGAGGAAAATATGTCTTTCAGGTGGAGTCTTGAAGGAGGCAATGAATAAGGAGGAAAGTCCGAATGGACCGGAGGTCTCTCCTCAATCTAAAGATAGTATTGACTGAATTGGATATAGAACTCATATAGTGTAATAGTAGGATCTCAAGTATAAGAAGGAGCAGTGAACCCTTCTGTTTTCTCATCATCGATCAATAACTTAAGATCAAACACCAACACTCTTCCAACAAGAGCAACCTCATTATCCCTCTTCATCTCAAGTACACCTTTTGAAATACATCTCAAAAATATCAAAATGCAGTTCACATCCAGCCTCATCACCTTCCTGCCTCTCATGGCATCCATGGCACTCGCCGCTCCCCTCACTGGTATAATCCACAATCCTCTCACGCATCCCCCTTCCTACTAAACACCCCACAGAATCCAACCTCGCCCTCAAAGCACGCACCGCCCTCCCCAAGGAATGCAGCTTCCTCAACGACCACAAGATGCTCTGCGTCTACACCTCTTCCAACGCCGCCGCCGCCCCCGTCGTCAAGTCCAACATCCCAGACGCTTGCAAACCAGACCTCACTGGAGAATCCGACGTTGTTTGCAAGATCCCAGCTGGAGCTAAGGGCTTCAGCCTTAGTCACAAGCGGGATGTTGCTGCTGAGGCTTACAAGTTTAGCTTGGTTTGTGATGCCACTGGATGTCACACTGGGAATGTGGCTCGTGATGTAGCCGCTGTGGAGGCGGAGGCTTATAAGTTTGAGGTTGTTGTTGAGGTATGTGGTCATACATCTTAGAAGCTGCTCTTGGGCTTTCCTTTTCCTCGTACTTTGAGGATAAGTATGCTCAGTTGTGGTTTTGATGTTTATTATGGTGTCATTTACTGATGTTTTGGTTGTGTAGCTTAAGAAGAGGGATGAGCTTGCTATTGCAGAGCGCGCTGTTGCTGCTCCTGCCCAGGAAGCTTACAAGTTCAGTGTCACGGTTGAGCTTTAGACTTATCCAGTTACTGGTCTAAAGTTGGGATAATTCGGGGACATGGCAAAAAGAGTCTCGACTCCTTTGATTTTTTTGGATAGTGGTTTTGGAGGAGCTACTAGACGTTGCAAGTAGAACCGTTGTGAATAATTGTTCTTGAATAAAATTTGTTTTCGGGAGTACTAGCCGAGAATTCGTTGACTTACTAACAAGTGATCCTCGCTTCAGCTTTGGCCTGAGTTCTAAGCGAACTTTTTCACAGACGAGGGTGTCCTAGTGGCTGGTAGTGTTAGGTAATCAGTGAGAAGGCAGGCAATAGGCGTACTGGGTGGGAGTATTGCTAGCCATGGTTTGTTACCAGCGTTCGGCAACTGGAATTCCATTCTATACCAGACCCCCCCTATAGAATATACTATACTATTTAAAGTAATCTCTAGAATATACTATTCTATATAGGGTGGTTCTATAGCATGCCATGGAACCGAGTTACATGACACAGAAAAAAGTCTCCCCGGTCCGACTAGCCAATAGAAAGCTATGATTTTGCTTAGCGCCGAGGGTCCATACGTGCCTGTCACGAATCACGTGCTCACGTGATACTTGTCATAATAAGAGGCGCAACCCTCGGCAGGCACACCCAGGTTTCTTATAGCAGAAAGGGATCCTTAGACCAGCTAAGCGATCCAGGGATTTTCATTGATTGGAAAGGTCACGTGACCTGGATCTTTTGGATCGTAATGATCCACGATCCAGGAGCGTAGATCTGCATGATCCAGTACGATCCACGAACATGAAAGGATCTATATAAGACTGGCACGTTTGCCATTAGATAGGAGCTTCGTGCTCAACTTAGTTATCAATCTTATCATATTAGTTTGACATCTTTGATACAAGTAACGAGTTCACTTCCAAGTGAACAACCCGATAGTCTTCTTCTTATCATAGCATACCAACCAGCGAACACCCAGCCCAGTTTAGTTAGCCAGTTTGAGTATTCGTTACAAGAGTAGTATAAGCCTCCCTTATACTCCATCATACTCCCTAGTCACATGATCTCCTGTAAGGAAGAAATCCTTGGATCACTTAGCTACCCTAAGCGATCCCTATTTGCTATAAGAAACCTGAATGTGCCTGTCGAGGGTTGCGCCTCTTATTATGACAAGTATCACGTGAATACGTGATTCGTGACAGTAATCCGCTACCTTATCTACTATTAATTTATTATCTTAAGATAGGAGCTAGGATACTTATATTTTTATACTTTTGTTCTAAGTATAATAATAACCTAGTTTAGCTTTAACTCGAGGATATAGAGTAAGAGCCGCCTCTTCTTCTATCTTAGCTTTAATATTACGAATAACTTAGATATATTACTATATTTAAAGTAGAAGGCGATATTACTATAATCGAGCTTCTTAGAATAGGAGTAATATTAAATAGCGGATTTTATTATAGAATGTTAAATAGCTTTAATCTAAGGGGCTATAATTACTTTAAACTTTAAGTAATATAGACAGAATATATATCTTTTAGTAGTAGTTTAAGAATTAACGATTTTATAGGATTTCGCGCTAGCGTTCTTTTTTAGTAGCTAGGCTACTAAAAAAGCACGGATTACAGAAAATCCCGGAAAATTAAGCTTAATTCGTAACTGACTGTATGTAAATGCCTTCGAAATATACAATATATACAATAAGAACAAAAATATGGTGAAATAGACAACTTCATCGAGAACCACTATTGTAGACAGAGAAAGTGCCAAATTCCCAATAGGCGTCTCTGAAGGCGGTGTTATTGGCTGCGACATGATCCTCGCAAGAACCAGGGCCTATTATTAATATTAGTAACTCTTAGAGATATAAATAGAGAGTTCTGACTCACAAGTATCTGCGGATTTGTAATAGTCACGACCTGCCCAAGTCCCGCAGAGGGAAATATTAAGGATGATACTCTGGTTGCGGAAATGGGTATTGATATCACAATTGGTGCTAGGGAAATCCGCCGTTGCTGTTCCCCAGGTACTGGGGTCTGGGTTTCCGTTGGTAATGTCGGAAGGAATGCTCGAACGACGGAATTGCCACGCCCTTATGCCTTCACGTCGCAGCTCCATTGCCATGATTCCGCCTCCATCGTTGTTGTAGGTTTGACCAAATGTCACTGGCCCTGGGTCGACACCACAGCCTGCGTTCACGTTGGTGCTATTGAGACAGGTTTTTTGTAGAGCTTTCCCGGTTTGCTTGCGCTTCACATTCATTACACATCCTTTTGTCGTATGCAACGTGATTTGGTTGGGGTGATCACCAATCACGTTTATGGCCTCATACAAATCAATTTCTCCATTATCAGGCCAATTGTTGTCATCTGTGAGCCAGAGAGCTGGCCACACAGCGCAGCCAAGTGGGGTGTGTTTAACGTCGAAAATGAAGAGGTTGTTGTTGCCGAATTGTTTCTTGGAAGAAAGCCGAATGGACATACGACCGGTTGAAGTATTGGGAACACTGGAAGTGTTTGTTAAAGTAGTGTCAACTCGAATAACCGACGACCGAGAAGAAGCATAGGTCAGATTGTATTGTTGTGCCGTAGCCTGATCCACATATTTGACGAAGCCTTCAGTAGGATCTGGGCCAGGGAAATAGTTGAAGTTGTCAAAGAAGTTTTCTCCAGAGTCTTTCGTTTGATCAGTGAATGAAGGCAAAATACAAGAGATTACTTACAGGTGTCTGTCAAGGTATAATTTAACCTTGTATAGTCTGGGTATCGATTGTTCCTCGTCACCACGACCGAAGGCACCACCACTACGATAACTATGATTACAAACGCTATAAAGATTCCAATCCACGCCTTTTTGCCCCATCCCTTGGCATCGTACCATGGCCGTTTTTGAGAGTTCAGGTTATCGTATTCCTTTGCCATTTCTACTGTTGAAATGGATATCTGCTTGTCGTCTAGGTCCGGATTTAAAGATTTCGGGTATGAAGAGTAAACCGAGGGTGAGTAAACTACTTTACTTGTAGGTATTCCGATCTTTGGAAGTATCACAGAAAGGGTTTTGCTGGCTGAACGAAAATGCCGCACAGGTTTTGGTGGTTTCCAGTACTCCAATGGTTTAAAACCAGGGTTCTGTGGTTGTGCCATATTATATATACAGCAGGTATACCTGCCTGAGTCGCGCGGTTTAGTATGATACTCTGCCAAATCCTTGTGTTGACACGTGTATATTGAAGAAAAACGAGCCTGCTCGATGCACCATAGGGCTATAGACTGTACAGAGTTCCCCAATAAGAATGCGAATAACAAGAGAAGCGGGCTGGTGACGTGCAGATCGCACCTATCCGACGAATCATGCCATTGGTGGCAACTATGCGGGCAAGAAAAGACGGTAGTATAAACCCGAGATGGAAGGAAAAGACCGGCTATTTGAATAATAGGAGAAGAAATGACCAGAAAGAGCGCTTTATGGAATATACTTTGTAGAAAATTAGCTGGTTTGACGATCAAAATGCAGGGTAACCATGGGCCGGTAATGCCCCCACTCGAACCAGATTTGCGCTCTCTCCATGCTCTTGGATGTTTTCCACCTCCATCTCTTCTTTTGACAATGGAGACTTGGAAGCCCTGGATGAACTGGCAAATTTGCTTTTGCATGCAACCGTGAGAGCCAGTGCAGGTGTCTCTAAACGGCCTTTGTTTATGACATCTGATGGCTCAGACACGATTCCAAACCGTGGCTGCTGCAGATATTGACCCAACTGGCGACGCGAACTCCTCCATTGGCGGCAAGCTATTTCCGTCGGCGAGAACAGATGCTTTTGATACCCAGGATAAAAAGCATCGGAGAAAATGGAAACAGGGCCATGCTGAGAAAGACACCTGACGCACCACAATGTGACCTGTGCGAAATCCCGAGTTTAGTTGAGGAGTCTTGGCTGCGGGGGACTGAGACTTCAAAAACGCCTGCCTTCTCAGAATCTGATCATCATCTACCGGTACAGTCCTCTCTAGGGCTCATCATTAGTGCAACAACAAACTCTCGGTGGTGTTCATGATTTATTTCACCGATAGAACAACACAACTGGAAAAACCGCACAAGAAACACAGTACTCGAGTCAATAACCTGTTCAAACTCGCAATAGCAACATGTGAGAAGAACCTTGAAGCTCAAACAACAGCATCTCGCAACCCCCGGACTCGACTCGCAAACTCGCTACAACCAGTTTATTCATGCAGCAACCTTCCCCACGTCTTTATTCATCCTCGAAATGAGGTCATCCATCGCCAAATATCAACTGTACATACAGCTTTTCGTCCGGGGAAATGTTCCACGGCACGTGCTGCCGGCGATCATCTTACTCCACAAACTCCCAAGTGGACATTGAAATTGAGGAGTTTTTGAGGGGGAGCACGATCCTCATAAACACGAGATCTTTCTTCTTAAATCGTTTTTCTTTTTATTATATACGCACCATTCGTCTGAACTCGGTGCCTTGGCTCCCGTATGCTTCTCCATACGGGAAAGAATTACCAGTAAAGCTTGCACTGCCGCGTCAATAGTTCACACTCTCTGCTTCAAATTGTTAGGCGTGTTCAATGTCACTATTTTTGCTTTGTTGAAGAACGTTTTTTAAGCATAAATATTTGTTCTTCAAGAAACGGGAACACCCAGAACTTGAGTCTCACTTTGAGCTTGCTTCAAGGCTTGATGTGAAGGTCGGAATAAGCTTTCCTTCATCTTTCGTCCGGCATGGACTGACCTAGTCCTCAAGCGAGCCGCGAGGTCGGCAAGCCTTACTCTCCAGTAACAATGTCTGTGGTGTTTGCGACTGCGAACCAGCTACACATGGATCTTTCGCTCTGTTTATTTATTTTCGTTTTCCCTCGTTCGTTTTAACTTTAGGAGTGCTGTATGAGATGAGCTTTGGTTTCTGGCATAACCTGATGTTATGACCGTCAAACCTCGAATCATCAATCGCACATTAGAGGTCGTTTCCTTGCTCTATGGTAAAGAGCGTGGACAGTTAAATCTGGACACTGTCCCTGGTCATAGTTTGTCTCGGCCCCGATTTTTAGCTAAACCAGCGAATCAAAGACTTATATCTGGTCGATGTAGACTTTTTTCACATATGATCTACATGACAGTGTCCATTGACTGTCCACCCCCTTTACTACTGCCCACATACTAGTGGTCTGGGAGTACAATTTAAATAATACAAAAACGAAACCGACTAGCTTCTGGTCCGCATTAACGCCGTGGTAACAAGGGTTCAGACCACAGATTTTCTCGTGATTCAAGCTTATACGATTCACTTGATTTATGTATATTTCTTTCGATTTTCTGGAATCTGGTCACGTGGATGTTGTTTACATCACGTGACAAATCTAATCTCAAAATACTATAATATAGAAGTTCGAGATATACGAGTATATATATTATTATCTATTAGAACTCTAATATTATTATCGACTAGAGTAGTATTATAAAAAGACTACTTAATATTTCGAGTACTACTAAGAGTTATTCTAAGTTAAGTTAAGTTAAGTAATAAACTTAATTAAAATATAAATAAGTTAAGTAATAAATTTAACTACTCGAGTAGTTATATAAAACGTAACTAAAATATAAGTATTTAGTAATACTATTACCTATAGGAAAACCTAGATATAAGAATCCGTAATATAAGAATATTCTCGGTTATATTTTTAATTCCTAGAACTTAAATTTTTTCAAGTAAAGTACTAAGAATAACCTCGGTTAAAGAATAATCCCTAGGATTTTAATAGTAAAAATCTTTTTTATATCTAAAATAACCTTAATTATATTCTTATTATAGCTAATCTTAATATTAAAACTATTTACTAAAAGCTTTTAATTTATTTTATAAAAAACCTTAGGAATATTAAAATAGAATTATAATATAATATATAAGTTGCCTTATAGTTAGCCGATTATAGCGGGAATTATAACGAGTTTAGAAGAATAAAGTATAAAGAGTAACGAGATTATAAAGAAGTATTTATATTAAGTTAAAAGCTTATAGAATTAAGTAGAAGAGAGTATAGGTTTATATAGACTAGCACGTATACCCCTCGGCTAATACCTAGACAAGCTCTACTATAACGGCGGTAGAGTACTATACGTAATATACTACGTAATATAATAGTAATACATCTATAGAAGATCCTATAAAAGAAGTAACTATAGTTTCTAATCTTCTATCTAGCTTACGTTCAAGAACTAGGAAAGCCCTTTACTATTTCACTAAGAGACTACCTTATATAACTACTAGTATTAGAAATCAGGGAAGAGTTAGTATAAAAAAACGTTTAAAGTTCGAAGATTTCTAAAGAATGATTATATATAGTTATACTACTATAACCCTTTATTAATATTACTAGGATTTAATAGTATAGTATTTAGAGAAGTTAGAATAAACTATTTTTTAATTAATTATCTTATATACTCTTAGCTTTAATTATATATACTTTAATTCTAATTCTTCTTATTTATTTATATTAGCTAAAAGAGCTTACGTTTTATTACTAATTTACTCTAATTTAGAGAACGCTCTTTTTAAATAATAATAATAGTAAATATAACTTGAAAAGACTACTTTAATTAGTAATATCTTTAAATAAAAAAGTAAGGGAGATTTAAAATACTCTACCTTAGTATAAGAATATTATTAAGGAACCTATATTCTCTAATAGATAGCTTAATAACTTTAAGTAACGTTTTAATATTAAGTAATATACGTTTTATAATAAGGTAGTAATATGTAAGGGTATTTTACTAATAAGAATTAATGCTATAAACGAAGTATATATAACTTACGCGGATTATACTACTAAGAATATCTTTAATATAGATAAAATAGAACTATTTTAGCGACTTACCCATATAAAACTCTTACAACTAGCCCTAGTTTAGGTAGAAAGAAAAGTAAGAAGTTAAAGCCCTAGATAATTAGTAAATCCGAGAATTCTTATTACTTTAAAAGAATTAATAAGTCTTTTCTTAGTATTACTTATCAATATAATAAAATTATCGGTATAAGTAAATACTACTTAAGGCTACTTACGTACTTGTAACGAATACTCAAACTGGCTAACTAAACTTGGCTGGGTGTTCGCTGGTTGGTATGCTATGATAAGAATAAGACTATCGGGTTGTTCACTTGGAAGTTGTGACGGTTCTAACCGTCACCACCATTCGGATCACGTGGTCTCGCTTAGCGACCCACACCAAGTATTTAGATCGAAGCTCTCTCGAGCTCTGCTCTTCTCCTCAGCTTAGAATCTTTGTTTAATTGACAGTTCTACGATTCCAAAACCTACACCGTGGGCCTTGCGTACGTGTCGTCACAGAAGTGAACTCGTTACTTGTATCAAAGATGTCAAACTAATATGATAAGATTGATAACTAAGTTGAGCACGAAGCTCCTATCTA